ACGTCTACCCCAGCTGAGAAAGCCGGCACTGAGAGATGTGCGATTTGTTCAGAGTCAAACAGCTAATAAGTGGCTGGTCTTGATTCAAACCTACACCTGTAGCTTCACAGTCCAGGCTCTGAACCCCACTGTGCAAATGAGAGTACTCCTCCCCAGAGAGTGATGAGGGCCAGAATGTGCACCTGCCTCCTTGAGAGACAGTGGACAACTTTACCAAAGGCATTGCCTGTGTTAATTTTTGGGTCTGTGTGTGCATTTCAAACTAATACCAAAAATTAAGCCTAGCTCTTTGATGTAAAGAAGATAATTGAGTTAATCATTCCCCCACCCCACCCCACCTCCACCAGCTAACTCTTACATAATAAATGCTGGTTCTCATTGATTTCTCTCCCTCAGTTTTGTTGTTGTTGTTGTTTCTGGTGCTTTTATTGACTGTCTGTCTTCTACGTCAGGACTTGGAAGGTCTGACATGTGTCTGCTGCGCCTTGTGGGGCACTGGCTGCTGACCAAGGTCTGAGAATGCCAACCGCTTTGAAAGTGGGGCTGAGAGAAGGAAAATGGGAGGTTGGAATCTCAGGAAAGGAGGAAAATAAGAGCCCCGCCTCCTAGTTCTCACTCGCTGATCTTTGAGGCTACAGGCAGGACCCTTACCCTGATTTTTGTCCAACAGGAAGTGTGGACAAGAACTCAGAGGTATCTTTAAATCAGGTGATGAGACGCTGAGCAAACCCAGGAAGGAAGGGCTGCAGATCGACCTTCCTACCCTCCTGTAGATCTAGGAGCTTGGCACCTGGTTAGTTATCTCATGCTGCTGTAACAGAGAAGCCACAAGGGGGTGGCTTTAAGAAACAGAAGTTCATTTTCTCACCGTGTAGGAGGTAGCTAGAAGTCTGAATTGAGAGTGCTGGCTCCAGGGAAGGCTTTCTTTCCCAGTCACTTCTGGAGGAAGGTCCTTGTCTCTTCTGTGCTTCTGTTCCTGGGCAGTCTTCCTGGGGCTTGGACTCTGTTTCCCTGCCTCTACTTCTTTCACTTGCTTGTTTGAGCTTCTTTAGATCCTGAAAGTGATTGATTTGACACAATTTGTACTAATTCCTGGGTTGTGCATTGAACCTCTAAAAACCAGGCCAGTGGTTCAAACCCAGTAGCTGCTCCAGGAGAAAGAGATGAGGCTCTCTGTTCCTGTAAAGTGTTATGACTTCAGAAACCCTAAGGGACAGTTCTCTTCTGTCCTCCAGGGTCCCATGAGTTGGAACTGAACGGATGGCAATAGGTGGGTAGACTGGGTCATCTGTGGGTCCATCGATCTCCTTAGCATAACAAAAGCAATCCATTCTCAATGGGATGATAGGTTAGGATTTACAATTTACAATACCTATTTGGGGGCTGGGGTGAACAATTCAATGGATAATGCCTGTGACCCCAGCTGCCCAAATAGCATGAACACAAGCATGGTGGCTGAATAAATAGCTGGGAGCTGAACATAGCTGACCTCCTCTGGCTTCCCCGTTGTGACCAGGGTGGGGGACCAGCCACGCTCCAAGCTCTATCCTTCTTTCTCTACTCAGTCACCAACCCTTCCTCCCATGCCACTCTACCTCTGTGCTGGGCCCAATATTTCAGTGAATGGCCACACAACTCACAGACACTACTCCTGGTGGTCAGAGGGCTTATGAGGGAAGTTAAGAGTACGGATACAGTCCCTCATTGGTTGTTAGCCCCTCAACCTATCACGGGATAGCCCCATCTCTCTCTGGTTCTTATCTCTCAGCCATGTGGTCCCTTAACCTTGGCCTCCATAGGCCGAGAAGCCAGCTGGCCTGGCATTCTGTCTGTCCCACGGTTTCTGATCCTTGGGCCAGCTAAGGAGAAGGTACCCCACTGTCTCGGAGCCACGGTCTGTGATACATCTGGTCTTAGCAGCCTCCGCACTTCAGACAGAGATCATGCTCCTCCAAGGTTCTCTGAGTTTCTCTCACTGCTGCTGCTGCTGCTGCAAAAATGGCCCATCCATATGGCCAGGGGAGTGGTGAGGAGAACTGACCCATCAATCCCTCTGCTACCATGACACGCTCCCTGCTTGCATAATCCCACCCAATCACCTTTTGGGTGTTACACACACTTGGGTAGGGGAAGCAAATTCAGAAATTTCACTCCAGCACAGTGGCCACAAGGGGCAGTATTCACGACCTGCTTCCAGATTCATCCCAACCACCGACCGCTGGGTTCTGGAGTGATTTATTAGGCTGGGTGGCCTTGCTAGAGAAGGTCAGGTAAGAGAGACAAGATGCTACCCAGATGAAACAGTCCCTGGAGAGATCGAACCCATCCCATCCTGGCTGCCTCTTGTTCAGCTATCCCTCAACTTCCTCCCTTGTCTGCCAAAGAAACTTGGTCTGGATTTGACCTAGTTTGAACCCTGAACCAATGACCCGAAAGGGCACCTTGGTTATTCTCTGTCGGGGGTGCTGATCGGGGGCCATGTGCCAAGGCAGGTGAGTTTTCAATCCAGAGACCTGCTTCACGGGCCTTTGCCGCTGCTGGCCAGCAACAGTCAGGGGCTGAGGCCATTCTCATTAGGTGTCCATGGGTGATGTCCCCTCTACATGCATGCTGAGGCCTGGCCCAGACACACTAGGACCTGGCTCTTGGAGATGTGCCCCACCTGCCGCTGGCCCTCGGGGCAGTGTGGCGCGCTGGAGTCCCTGTCTCATCATCCAGTTGCTCTCAGTGTTCAAGAGGAGCATCTCACAGGCTGGTCCCTTCTCGGAGCTTCTCCGCCTTTAACCAGTGGTAGCAAGCCTGGCAGGTATCATACCCACTGCCTGCTTCTTCACAGTGCTTGGAACTGCCAAGTGACCTGCGTGGTTCTGCTCGTCATTTCCCTTGCTCCTCATCTTCCCCCACATGTAGCCCCACTGTGGGTGTGTTCCGTCCAGCTCCCATCCCCCTGTCCCGTTCATCACCCAAGGAAGCAGCTTAGTATCACGTCAGACATCACAGTGGCAAGAACGTGTGGGCTTTACCAGACACGGACAGCATGTTCCCCCTCAGGAGAAATCGTTATAGATCACTGAAGAATGTAATTATCTGTATGTATGTATTCCTCAGTCGACAAGAGGGGAAGGAGGGAATAACGTTGGCTGCGAACTGATGTTGGGCGGTTCTGGGCTGCTGCTTAGGAAACAGGCCAGAGGACAGAGAGCTGCCCCGCTGACAGGACAGGGCAGTGAAAAGGCAGCTGCTTAGCTTTGCTGTGTAGAGCCTGGTCACTTCGCAGATGCAGAGCCGCCTGAATTCGACTGCCCATCGCAAAGCACAGAAAACGCCAGCTACGGTTCCACTGCTCTCCCTTACCTCTGAGGAGTAAGAAGTGCTGCCTAAAGTAAAACTAAGTGGTTTATATTAGTCATCGAGATGCTGCGTGATTATGCACACACACGCATTCTGTGTAGCAATCTGGGTGTACCACTGTGAGCATGTGTCTTACAATTTACACAGGTATTTCAACCACTTAAGAGTCTCCCACTTGTCTAGTGTCATCAATAGACTACTGTTCTTCAAATACGAATCATCATTATGCTAGTAATAATTCGCTGAAAGAAATCCCCAGAAGTCAGCTTAAAAATAATAACAATAAAAACACCTGACGTTCATGCAAAACCCAGTTTTGTATCAAAGCACCTGCATCCTTTGTAATTTCTTGAACAGAATCTAAACTAAGCTAGTTTTTGCAGAAAGAGAGATGAAGCAATGTTCCCCCCTCCAAAGCATTGTTTTTTATTCATGGATTAAAATAGCTTTAGGCAACTCTCTAGGCCTGTGGAGAAAGCATCTATACATAGAGAGTGTGTATTATAAATTTAAAATAGAAGCTTCTCCACCCGTGCACTTCCAGTCAGGCCTTCTCCCATCCTGCACACGTAGCCCGAGCTTTACAGGGTGATGCGGACGTGGATTTCCGGCAGCCTCCCTAGTTAATGGGCCCCGGGAGGATTCTGCAGAGTCCCGGGAATATCTCTGGAGTCTAGTTAATTTCTTAACGGTTATTGGGAGTGTTGTTATGACCACAAAGAATATTTTTAGCCTGCTCGCTGTGTGGCTGAAAACCATCAGGACTTTTCAGATGAACAAGAAGGAACGTTTCTTATTTCAGAGCTGAAGTAAGGAAACCGAAACGGTGTCCTTCGTCACCTCCCTTTCCTCCCCACCTCCGCTCACCGCAGCTCCTTCTCTGCCCGTGGTTGGCTTTGCAGCCCGGGTCCTCTGGTCACCTGTGCGCAGAGGAGGGGATGCTGCCCCCCAGCCCGAGCAGTAGCCGGCCAGCCCTTGATCTGGGAGTTGCGGCTGTTCACCTGTCGGATCAGGTGCCTGGGCCTGCGGTTCTGCCTCCCGCTTCCTCCCACACGACTTACTCTGCACCTTCCGGAGCTCTTCCTGGCCTTTATACTCACGACTTGCAGTGTTGCCTGCCTGCAATCCCAGACAAGACGTGGAGGCAAAGCTAGAAGCTGGGTTTTCATTTCAGGAGTCCCCACGCCATCCCCCTCCACTCTAGAAAGCAGTGCTGTGGGAGAAGTATTGTGACACGGACGTCGCACGGGGGTCCCAGTGTCTCGTAGCCTCCGTGGACCTGGACACAGTCCGTGTTCGGTCCCTTTCTCTGCAGTGTCACCTCTCTCTGCTCATCACAGGGCCGAGCTAGAGCCGCTGTGAGGCTACCTGCCGAGCAGTGCGTTCCGTCAGGTGTTGAAATAAGTGTGTCCTCTTCTGGAAGGCAGGCCGCACCCGACCCCCAGCCGAAGAATGTATTTAAAGTGATTTCCGAAAATGGGCCGCGAACGCTGTCTGCCACATGGCCCATGTTGGCACATCTCTCTATAGTTGCGATTGTGGGATTTGACAGTGTAACTCTGAATCTGATTAATTAAGAATGTGTAAAAACAAAGTTCTTGCATTACAGCTCGTTCCTTATCTTTGTGTCTTTCACTGTGATGTTGTAGAACTTGGATCATACGGAAAGCTAAAATATTATGACACAATGACTGAAGAAGGTAAGCATGATTTTAGAATTGTTTGCATTGCGCTCTTTTGGTTGACGGTGTCTGTTGCTTGACCATTCATTTCTCTCTGGCTCTTTTTTTTTTTCCCCCTTTCCGTTTTTGCATGACTCCAGTGACATTGTGTGATTTTTTTATTCTTTCTGCGTTTTCGTCTGGTTCTCGCCTTTGTGTGGATTTGGAACTGGAGGCGTGCAATACCATGGGTCATCCTGTTATTCCATTCCAAAAGCCCGAACCATGTCACCTGGGTAACACTCAGAAATGGTGTCAGCAGCGCAAACATGAGCCACCAGCCCACTGTGTGCGTCAGCCTTGCTGCCCCACGCTCTCACAGCAACATCTAGAACCACAGGCAGCCAGCACTTGCAAGGCTCATGGGGTGGGGAGGGGAGGTACGATCCGGTGACTATCTGATCTGTGAAAAGGAAGGAGTCACTCCAAAGTCAGCCAGAGACTACGGACCCGGAGCAGCTAGGGACCTGTTCTGATGCAGAGGGCAGGGTGTTCATGACTGAATCCCACAGCTCCTGTCGATGGAGACAAGAAAGAGCAGGCATCTGAGAGGCCAGCCCCACAATCCCGGCCGGTGTGAGTGCAGATCCGGCGTTAGTTCCCACGTCATTTGGAGTTCCCGTTCTGTGCGCTCAGGACTAGCATTTGATAACCGTTTTGCTTGAGGCAATAAAGAAGGGCAGACATTTGTTTTCAGCACAGTCTTCTCTCCCTCTTCAGAGCAGCTCGGTTCTCTGGGAGGAGGCCAGCGGTTACGCACTGGGCTCCTCACCAAGAGCTTAGCAGTTCGAAACCACCGGCCTCTCTGCAGGAGAAAGACTAGGCATTCTACTCCTGTAAAGAGGTGTTAATCTCAAAGAAAACCCACATGGGCAGTTCTCCCCTGTACTATAGGCGTCGCTAGGAGCCAGTAAAGACTCGATGGTAGTGAATTTAGCGTGAGGTTTATGTTCTATAGGGAGCCCTGGGCAAAAATGTGTAGCTAAAAGGCTTGAATCCACTCAGAGGTGATTTGAAGAAAGATCTAGTGGTCTACTTCCTACAAAAAAGGGGGAAAATGACCACTGAAAGCCATGTGGGTCCAAGTTGTCCACCGACACACCGGGTTGGCATGTCAGAGTTGCTCCCCGGCAGCCGGGCAACATGCCTTAAGCTCCTGTGAACACGGGATCAGCACACGACGGCATCCACCTTTGAGCTGGACTGTGACCAGGCCTGATGCTCTGGCTTTGAGCGTGGCCGTGAATGATGGCAGCCGTGCCACCGGTGATTGTGGTGGACACACATAGCTGCTAGCAAGCCTGTGATCCACTGATGCCCTGAATCATCAGGAGCACCCGTTTGAAGGATGAATGAGTCCCCGCGCCCAGCCGAGCCCCAGTCAGATGGCACCTGGGACAGCTCCCTGCCTCAAGTTCACTATGAGCCACAACTTGAAAACATTCCATTCCTGTCCCGGGAGAGGGCTTCTGATTGCCCTGTTCCCATGCCACCCCACACATACCCCCACTTTTTGCACCATAGACAGCTAATATGTGTACGACATGAGAGCATTTGGTGCTTCACCAGATGTCTACACTGATACTGACAAGAAACCAAATAACATCAAGCTAATTGATTCCTTCTCCCTAAGAGGAACTCCCAAATGTGTTGCATCTCTTGCTTTCAGCTTCCAGTATTTCTAAGTTGCCTTACTTTGCCAAAGAGCTCCTAGTTGCTTTGCATGCGGGAGTAGAGCCTCTCACAGCCCCGGGTGGGCCCTGGCCCCTGCCTATTCTGGCTTCTGCGCAACGCCTCTGAGCCTTTCTCTGCTGCTCCCCCTGCGCTGTAATTAACCACCATGATGTTTTCTGAAGCAGCAGGTTTCTGTGAGGCTCTCAGGCTGGGCCCTGGGGGAGTCCAGGAGCCTTCCAGCCTCTTGGGGGAAATGCAGCTCCTTGGGCATCCAAGGGTAAAACGCCACCTGCCATCCAGGGGAAGAAAGGACAGTCCCTGCCTTAAAGGGAGGCTCCAGGCCCTGCCATGATTTTTATCCCAAATCTTCAGACAATTTCTGGTTTTGCTGGTGATGGGCATAAGAAGCCAAAGACTGACTTGGGTCCGACAACATCAGCAGCAATTTTACAACAGCCTGGGGCCGGGGTGGGGTGGGGTCGGGGGTGGAAGAGGACACGTTCAATAAGTAGGGGAACTTCTGGATTAAATCAGATGGGTTTCTTCCCTCCTGACTTCTCTGAGCCTCCAGTCTGAACCCAGGACAGATAGGGAATTGTACGGAGGGCTCGGGTTTGCAGTGCTTTAGGCTTATATCAGAGGGCTCGCTCTGGCATGGATCAATAGGAAATGCTAGTAGGTAAGGTAAGCATTGGGTTGCTAACTGCAGGGTCGGCAGTTCACCCCACCAGCCTCGCTGAGGGTGCAAGTGGATGCTATGTGCTCCCGTGAAGAGTGACAATGCTGCTGAAACCCTCTCTGGGGTCACCATGAGTCGGAATGAATGCAGTGGCAGTGGGCTTGGTTGGGGGGAAGGGAAGGGCATTGTTAGTTAGGGTGCCGCTCTTCACCTAATGCAGGCTCCTGGGGACAATTAAGGATCTCCTTGAGCGCACCGCAGTTTCTCTCAGGTGCCCGCTAGAAGGGACATTCAGGAGCCAGTGTCTCCATCTAGCCTCCTCAGATCACCCATGGACATCAGCCTCCGTGTCAGGCCAGACCCAGCATCCGTCTGATTCTGAAAGACTCAGAGTCGGTCAGTTCCAGCAGACGTGGTGTCTGCCTAGCGCAACTCCCTCAGACTCGCAAGGGCGCTCCCCTCCCACTGACCCAATAGTAACTGTGATTCACGTCACTGCCACTCTCAACCTTGAAGGACGTGCAGTCGATACGAGGTGGTTTGGGGTGGTCGTTGTGTACTTGAGACGTGCCCATCCAGGGGCACATTTCTTTTCACAAATTTAGAAATGTTACCCAGTCACCCCGAGACTGGGCTTTCTAGTGATCACCCCTATGACTAATCATTACAGCTCTTGCCAGGGAATTCTCTGGAGGGTTTACAAGGTCAGCGTGTTAGGCCAGGTTGTCTAGAGAAACAAAGGCAGTGACACGCCTCTGTGTATAAGAAAGAGCTTTATATCAAGAAGGTATCTCAGCCCAGACCAACCCCCGTCTGTAAGTCTGATACTAGTCCATAAGTCCCTCTTCAGACTCAAGTAGCCACATGCCAGTGACGCAGCCTGGTGGACCAGGAAGATCAGAGGCATGTGGATCCAGAGTCGGGGGAAACACAGCAGGGTCCCCACAGCTCTCAGGGTTGGCAGCTGAGTCCCAACAAGTAGGAAGGAGAAGTGGCAGAGAAAAAGGCGGTTCCCAGAGTCCCTCACTCTTATAGCAAAAGCCACATCCCCAAGGAGGTGTCAGCCAGCTACCGCTTGATTGACAGGTTTGATTCCACCCCTAGTCAGAAGTGTCCAGTTGACATAAAATCATCCAGTTGCCACCATCAGCAACTGGCAGTGAGGCCTACCGCCACCCGCCAAAGTGGATCAAGTGGAAGGAAGTGCCACTCATACTACAGAGGAATTGTGTGACGATGGTTTTCGAGACACAGGAATTGCCCACACATATTCAGTGGGTTATCTTAAGCATCTACTCTGTGAAAGATATTCTGCTAGGTAGATAAAGAACGTGGGCAGTTTCCCACCGGGGACCTTACAGGCCAGCGGGGAGAACTATAGCACAGCCATCCCTGCACCACCAGGAAGAGAGTGGTAAGTACCAGAGGTGTTCAGAAAGGAATGAGAGCGTGCAGTGGGAGGGAAGATGGCTTTCAACTGGGGAGGCCCATGGGAGATTTGGTAGGGGAGGGAATCTTTGATCTGCGCCCTACGAGGTTGATAGATGATGGATATGGGGTCGGCAAAGCCTTGCCAGGCAGTGAGAACAGGAGGCACAGAGAGAGAGGGGCGGCCACTGTAAGGCTGACTAGGTGTCTCGCATCTGCCAGGAGCAGTGCTGGGATCTTCGTCTCGTCTGCCTCCTTTCCTCATGATGAGCCCGCAGAGTAGATTTCATTAATGATGAGAAAACCAAAGCTCACGGAGGCATTTTCCTGAATGAGGAAAAACTAAGACTCAGAGAGGCGAAGCAACTTGCTCTGGGGGCAGAGTGAGAAAGCAGTGCTGAAGGACGGAACTCGGGGCTGTGTCCTTTCCAAGCTCCATTGTGGTTTATGACCGAGACAGATGGGTCTGAGCAACAAAGGTAGTTGAAAGTGGCTACACTTTATGGATGGGGAAGATGGGCACTTAGTGGCCCCGGATCCTGGAAACATTTGGACAATAGGCTGAAGAAAGAGAGCATCCTCTCGTGGACCATGGTGAACTAGTGAACAAAATATGTACCGCTATTGAACATTTTACCACTGGGCATGTAGTTTATGTCTGCCCTCTCAGATACTGGGTGGAACGAGGGCAGTTGCAAAATGATCCTGGCCTTCCGAGCGTGATCCCTTCATCTTCTGTACTCACATACCCTAGAAACGTAACAGGAGTGGCCAATTGGCCACCATCCCACCCCCAAACCAAGACAGTTTCATCCCTTGACACCCACTTTGTACCAGGCACTAGACTAGGTGTGAGGCATCCGGAGGTTCAAGACAGGTCTCCTCCTGAAGAACTCATCATCTACTAGGTCCCACAGGCAGAATTATGAGTGTCGGTCTCTCCATCAGTCTTGGGAACTGAGGGTGGGATTCTCCAAAGAGGGAATGTCTCTCCAGCCTCATTCCCCTTTCCCAAGGTGGCAGTCTGTCGTAATGGTCACCAGATGCCTACATGTCCACTTACTAGCACTGAGCATCTGCTCAGTGTCAGACATTTGTTAGACCCAGCGGATTAGTGAGCTACCCTTCTGGGGATTCTGTTTGCATTTATAACAAGACCCTTTCTGGAAATGCAAACAAATGACTGGGTTCTTAAGGA